GCTTCAGAAACCTTCCTGGTAGATGGGTCAGGAGCTAGGCTTTACCTGGCCATCACTGGAGGGGAAGCATGAAGGCTGCATGTCACACCTCCAATGCTTCACACCTCTCAGGATCTCTGGCCACCTCCACCTCTGCAGCAGCTCCCATACCTGCCACACCTCCCTCTTCCAGCTAGCTGTCTTTGCAGCTCCTCCCTAAGCAGGAAAACACAGCGGCAATTGATGGCACCGCTGTCTGCTGCTCTGTCAGCCACCACCACAAACCTGCTCAGCACACTGATATGTACCGCTAAATGCTGCATGAGCCAACGTCACAGGCACAGAGCTAGTACCAGCCACCGCTACTGCTGCTGAAGGTGAGGATATCTGGCAAAGACAACACCCTGACATAAAGTCTATGTGGTTGCCAGAATAAGAGAAAGCAGCACTGTAAAATGACTCCTCAGAACTCAAGGACCACCCCCAGTCCCCAACCTGTGAATCAGTGGTGTGTTGCTCATGAATACAGATTTAGATGTCTCACCTCCACAAAACACACTAGAAAAGTATGTAATATGTACAAGAGCTGTATGAAGGCGGGCCCAAACCTCTCTTGAAGTATCCCCTGCACAAACTCTGAGTACAAGATCATACCTTCAAAGTGTCCCACGCGATGGCTAGGCTCCCAGCCCGATAAAAAGACGTGAAAAGAGGGGGGAAAAAAAGGTATTTTTTAAAATCAGCTGAAAGAAGGAAGTGAAATCCTGGCCTTGATCAGACACAGTAGAATTCGGGCCTGTTGGCCAGTTTTAAGGCAGTCACCTTTCTCTGGCATGTCTATGTTGCCGTGCCACAGTGCTGCAAACACCCCCTAGGCTCAGCTTCCCGACAGAGCACACTGCCAAAATCCATGGGGCTGGCTGAGTACCTCCATAGCTGCTTGCTGGAGAGGGGCACAAGGCGCCAGCCTTCTGCAGTAAGGACAGTCTGTCAGGGTGCAGGTGCTCAGCGCAATGACAGCCCTGGAGTTCCGCAAACTCACAGGCATGGCAGGCAAACAAAACAGCTACCCGGGAAAAGTACTACAGCACCCACACTCTCAGGAGTGGCTGTGTTTGAATGAAAACATCCACATGACTATCAAAGATAACTACTCACGCATTGTGTTTTAACAATCTAAGCAAGCTTTCGCTGGATACTACAGAAGCAGCATTCTCCCTTTGTTTGCCAGGCCACATGCCCAGAAATACAAAAGCCTGCCTTGAATTTGCTTACAACTTCCGTCTTTGCTAGCTCCACTTACCGCTTGACACTGCTCCGTAGCACAAACAGTGCTCAATTTCTAGCACACTAGCTCTTTTGCCAGCAGGCCTGAGGAGATACTGCCCCAAAGGCACCAGCTTCTTTTCAGATCCTTTTCTTTCACAGCACATGGAAAGGATCCAGCTTCATTTTATTTGTATTATAAAAAAGCAAGCAGCAGGAACAGATAAGGTCAGAGTAATAAATATACTATGAAGATAAGGAAAAAAAAAATTGCGAAGAGTTAATCTATGCAGCAACTCGGCCAGCCTCGGAAGACTGGGAGACCTCTGCAGGCTCCAGAGGGAAGTCCTTTACCAAAGTGAGGACTGAGTGGCTGAAGTTGCTGTCAGTATCTCATATGCATTCATTTAATCTGTATTAAAGCCCTGGAAAGGGATGTCTCCACAGGCTGCGGCCACTATGACTCCTTCAACCACTGCAGCAGCTTTTAGCCAACCTTAAAATACATTTTTCAGTCTCTTGTGGAGAATAATTACCAGTCCCAGATACACGTACCTGCAACATCTACTTTCTTGCTTTTGCTTTTCTCTTTTCAGTAGCAGCACACTCTTATGGCAGGCTCTCTTGTAAACACAGAGGGAAGAAATACCATGGCTACCTTCTAAAACCTGCACAGCAGCTGAACAGAACAGGTTAAGGAAAAAAGTTAAAAGACTGCATTTTCAGAGCACAGCAGCTCTCCTTCCTCAAAGAAGGTACCACTGCCCTCAAACATCCCATGCAGAAAGGCTCTTGGAGGGCACACAGCAAGCACTGACAAATGCCTTGCACCTTTGCAAAAAGCAACAGAAAAAGTGTGGGCTGAGCACCTTAGAGGTACTGACTGCTGCTGGGCTACAGGTGAGTACTGGGAGAAGTTCTTCAGCCACTCTTACTAATCCTTTTCCTTCCCTTGCTTGGTTCACCTCCGAGATCCCCGAACTTGACCATACTGAGCCTCTTCTGTAAAAAGCCGTTTTGAAGAGGCCTATGCTTCTGGCAGCACTGAGCACAGCAATGGGACTTGTTCCTGGTACCACAGAGAAATCGAGGAACAGATGGGCTATAAGGTACCTGGCACTATTGCAGGCAGTATAAAAACAAGAGCTTTCTTCATGGCAATCTGCCAATTTCTGTTTTCCTTAAGAGTGCTAATATCGCTCTACTTCACAAAACTACTTTATAGATGTGAGGTCTTCACAGTTATAACTCACAACGACAAACTGCTTAACGTGAAATCATAACGATAAAGAGTATATCACACTCTAACACAGTTTGTTCACTTTTTCTGCATGGAGAAAAACTTTGCTGCATTAACTGCATTTAAACAGTACAAGTGCCTGCTGAGGGCTGGGAAGCGTACCACTGAACTCCACTGCTACTACTGAAGCGGCACGCCTTGGGTACACACTGCGATGGGGTGACTAAATCCTGGACACAACCTAACTCAAGGAATCCCGCTGCTAGATCCAGCTGCACACAGAGCGCGTTTCTTGTCTTTTCTCTTCCTCTCATGGTTATATCACAGGTTTTCTATCAAGCTGTTCTAGACACTGGTTTGAAGTCCTGCTATAGACTCGACTCTGAATACAGTAAGGCCCTTTTAGGGCTTCCAGAGGGTTGGTGCATCTCCGTGGGGTCTGTCGTCTCTAAGCAAAGTGGACTGGAACAGCTGAAGTGGGAGCAGGGTCGAAGGAGGACAACGGTGCAGACAGCCCAGCTTTTGAAAGCACGGAGACTTCACCCAGAAGCCAGGAGGCACTGCAGTATGCGGTCCCTGACTTTGGAAGCAATGGTGTCCCAGAACTGCAGTTCCTAATAAAATTCCTTTGTTTGCCAGAAGGGGAAGAAAACCCTACATCATTGTTTCCATCTTTCGTTTTGCTTCCTTTTATGAACAGTTGCATCACACTGTCTTGCACTTGTGTGTGAGGGAGAGGGGAATGTAATTTACTTCACCCCAGGCAGAGGTGCAATGCATTAGGGTGCACCCAGCACCCCAACTCTTGCAGCTGCCCAAGCCCTGGACTGACAGAAGGAAGACCTGTTTGGCCTCGGACTATGCTGCTCAGCACCCGCTGGATTGGCAGCTTGCTTCTTGCAGCCTGGGGATCCAGTGGCAGCTCGAAATCACTCACTGAATAAGCGCATGAACAACTCTTTAAATACAGAATGGCTTAGGTATTTCTTATTATAAACAGTATAAGTAACAGAACCCTTTTCTTTTTCTGAGGGCTGCGTGGGGAAATTGGGCCAAAAAGATTAAGCTTAAAACAGTATCGGGGACATGTATTGACCTTTAATGGCTACATTTTAACGGTGTTTCTGGGGGCATACAAAGGTGTTACATGCTAAGTTAAACCCATGAGATGCCCAGGATACAGCTGACAAAACCGGAGAGCTCTGTCTCCAGGCTTCTGGGTGCATTCCTGTTCTGCACCCCTTCCACGGGAAGGACACAGAACAGAGACCTCACTCTACAGGAAGCAATATAACTCCCTAAACAAAAATAACAGCAGGTATACTTGCCTTTGTAAACCAAGGAAACAGCAACTTCTTCAGGAAACAGCAACTATGTCACAATATAACCAAATAACCTACAGGCTTGTGTGTTTATGTATATACATACATACACTTATACCTACATATTATATATATTTATGTTTATATGTGCAGACATCCACAAACACAACCATTTAGGCACCTGTTTTCCATGCTCCAAAATAGCTGACTTATCTGGAAAACCTAACCCAAAAGGCTTGTTTTAACCCTAAACAGGCTACCTACTCATAACTGGAGCCACTCTGCCGTACACACACACGCACGCTTTGACAACCCTTTCATTTTTAAACTCCTTTGTTAAGTTCTGCCTTTATTTAGATTATAAAACCTTTGTGGCACTAACAGCTTTTCTTTTCCATAAGTGCCCAGTCCACTTCTGGCATCTACAAAATAAATCATGGAGATGGAGACACCGGTTCAGTGTTTCCGAAGCCCTGAGCACAACCTCTTCCAATGCAGTGCTTGAAAAAGGAAAAGGAAAAGGTATACCGCTTGCTGAAATATTTCTTCGTATGGCTCACTGGAGACGCCTGCCTCAATCTGATAACAAGACTTCCTGTACCCCATACAAAGCTGGCAGAGATGTCTTAATATTGACAAGCACAAATGGCACGCTTGAGTTTTTGTTAATTGTTACGGACTGAATAGCCAACATTTCTTAAAGAAACAGAGCAGAGATCTCAGGCCTCACAGTAAAGCTTTGTATGCCCTCTTTTTAATGGCCACTCTTTAACTTTTATGAAAACTGCCTTTGTTTGGATTTGCCATTCTCCCAATAGCTTTAGCATTCAAAGGTTTTTTAGTTTGAGAAAATCGGGTAAGGAAATGATCAGAAATACATAACAAATAAATTGTTTTTTCCTGAGTCAAACTGAACAAAATAGAAGCAAAAAGTAAAACAAACTTAGTTTTTCAAACCATGAAAGGAACGGAAGTCAAGATTGATTTAAAAACTGATCTTAGGCAGGCAGGCAGAGCTATATCAAAGACAACAGAGCCATGCTGATTTCTATCCTTTTAAGAGCTACCTCACAGTTGTTTTTTGGGGGGGTTGTTTGGTTTTTTCAAACATGCAGCTCCTCTTCCAAGATAAATATCAAAAACAAATAGGAAAGTCCTCATATCAACAGAAACAACGAAGCATCAGCACAAACCTGTGTTTCCTTGGGTGTCCTCTCCCTTGGTTAACGCCAGGTAAGAGAGCAGAGCGCAGTTATTGTCCTGACCAGGCGCAGGTGGCTGCTGCAGGGAGGTGCCCGTGAAGACCACTCCCCAGTTTACATGGCTGATATCGGACCGTGACCTGTTGTGTCCTGGCTTGAACGTGGAGGCTTCCTCATTCTGCACCAGGATGTCGTTCACCGAGCGAGGCCTGTCTCTCCTCCGCTGGCAGATATTGAAGATGTTAAAAGCTGCGGTCTCCCCTTCCCCGGCCCAAGCAAGGCTGTCAGCAGCTGTTCCCCTCTGCACCACGCGCTGGTCTTTGGCAGGGAATGCCGTCTGAGCTTTGGTTTCCAAGAGGCCATTTTTGCAGTGATCCCAGATGAAGCTACTTTTGGCTAAGGAGGCGACGTTCCTCAGATTCCTGCTCTCTGTTATCTGATCAAATACCTCGTGCCCAACCAGTTCGGGGACCTCCTGTACACCGTACACCTCAGAGGGCTGCACAATCTTTTCAAGCTTAGTATCAAAACTATTGAAAAAGTCTTCAGTCACTTCCAAGGCAGGGCTAATGTCATCAACTTCAAGAGCCTCCATATCCTGGGCTGCTGGTGGGCCCGAGGCGTCGCAATGTGTTAAGAAGATACCACATCAATATCCAGAGAAAGAGTCGCTTCACATCTGTCCTTGGCACACCAGTAACTTAGAGATGGTGGGGCAAACACATTCACCAACACAATCCCTAGTGGTAGAAAGGAACCAAATCAACCCGTCTTCAGGTGGGAAACTTAACATCCACTGACCAAGTGGGCTAGAGTCCCTCTAGGAAATAAGCTCATGATGATGGAGAGTACCTGTAAAGCAAAGCAAAACATCACGTCAGCAAGGGCCTTTTCCCAGATAAATATGTTTAATCACATCACTCCTTTCACAGTCACAGTCCTCTTGATTTTACTTTCTCCTTCATTTGGCACCAACATTATTGTGTACGAAGAACCCCTTTGGGGTTTCTGTTGTTCGCTGTGTGTGAACTCTGTGTATTATCACTTCTTGAACTGGAACCTGCAGAGAGCGGGATGGGGCACCAGACAAAGGGGAACTAAGCGATGCCACTTATTAACCAAGCTTTAGAAAGCTGCACCGAGAGGCGGTACTGACTAACATCACAAATGCAGCCACCTAGGGAATGCTTAGCACAGGTTCCCATGGGGCTGTGAGAAAAAGTTGAGAAACGAAGGGTTAGTAAAATAGGCCAACCAGCCTCAAATAGTTTGCCTTTTTCCCCCAGATTGCTTGCACTCCTAATTTTAGGAGACCAACATGAGTTTTACAGCAGCCACTTTGCCTACTTGTCTGCATAAACAGAACTGTGATACTTGCCTAATAAATCAATGCTATTAGGCTGCTGCAGAGCGCTGCACATAGAGTTTCTCTCTAGAATATCACTGGGAACCTAAGTGAAACCATGTGGGTACCCTAAACCCCAGAAAGACAAAGCATCCTACCAGCAAAACAAAATATACCATATCCTGCATCGTCACCAATCCGCAGATCTTTATTTCCAAGCTGACTTGCTGGGCAAAACATAAGAATAGCGAAGGGCTTTAAGGCTAGACCTACTGAAGAGCTCTGTCGACCCACCTGAGCTCACACCTGTGAGGAGGAAGGTCGGGGGGTTTCTATTCCCTGTGGAGCAATAAGGGAGAGTCTCATTGCTGACTTCTGTCGCACCAAGCCTGCTGCCTTCTAACCTCTCCCTCTTGAAGCTCCATCCACCGTGCTGCCATGCTCGAGGGAAGTGCACGGTAGCTATGTTTAAATTGGGGAAATCAGTAAAATGCGTGCAAGTTCTTGAGACCTGGAGACTGGGCGTTTGTGCTAGCGGGAGAACAGCTCTCATGGCTGCTAGGAGAAATCACAGTACCTACAGCCTGTACATGCAGAACAGTCCAAAGTCAGAGACCTACATCCCAGTTTTGACCACACCAGCTCAAGTCCTAGAAGCAGCAAAGCTGCATTAGCTCAGAGCTCTGCCTAGATTAATACACTCTTAACAGAACTAATTAGCCTGGGCAGGGCTGATAATTAGCAGCTCATTAGCTTGTGAATGCTGCTGAAGTGCTACCGGGACCCATAAAGATTTACACTTAGCAGGAAAAAAACATCTATTAAACAGCATCAAACACAGATAATACTTCTATTTAAGGTTCTTTTTTTAATCCAGAACAGTCTATTTACCTAACTTATATTAGCAAAGTCGTTTAAATAGGCACCCTGTCCTATAGCAAGCCAGAGGGAGGAAGGAGGCCAGCAGCCCCCCCTAAGAAGGGGGCACAGAATCCTGTAGCACAAACCAACTCCTTCCGCAATCATCCGCTGGCTTCCTCCCATCCCTGCTTCAGTTGTGGCCAGCCATGACACAGTTGTGTTCGAAAGCCGCAGCTCACCCTCCCTCCTAACAGATCAGCAGTTCAGACAATGACCTCCACAAACACGCTCCGAGTAAATAATTTTCAAAAGCAATAAATAATCACATGCATAATTCTGGAAACTTCAAGCCTTTACACTGCAATCTTTCCCCCCTTATCTCTTTGTAAGGATTCAATTCACTAGCCTCATAGCGAAGCAGGACTAGGATCAGCTTCAACAAGTAAACGTAGAGTAAGACACTGAAGACAGAGCCAGAACTGCAACAAGAGGACTGAGCAAAACAGATCTGGAGTGGTTTCAAATCAGAACAGTATGGGAACAGACTCTTTGCAATGCTGTGCAACTGTGCCAGTTGACGGCAGCAGGAAATAAAGTCATCCTGGGCACATCTGCATTGTCAGCTTAATGCAGCATGGAGTTCACTCTTGAAGCTCATTCCTGCCAGCAACCCCAGAACAGCGTTCTGCTCGCTGGTACCCTAGAGCTTGGGAGCTCCAGGAACAGGCTAAGGAACACGATGTGGTGCAACCTGTCCACTTATTCTACATCCTCCTATGGCATGTCTCTAAATCTAAAGAATGAGATTTTGCAGTTGCAAAACTGCAAGAGGCATTCACTTGAACAACACCAGCACTAACATAATCGTACGCCCACAGTGAAAGCTACAGGCTGTCCCATATGAAGATGCCGTTTCACAGGGGTGAATACAGCAGAGGATACAGCCTTGCTCTCACTCGAGGGACTGGAGCAGCAATCACTCCAGAAGGGCTTGTAAGATGCCACTGAAGCACTTCAGTGGTAGCAGATGCAATGTTGCTCTGTTCTTCATTTTAAATCATTAGGAAAGGTGGAAAGCAAGGGGAAAAAATTTGACACTTACATTTAACAGGTTCATTTTTAAATGCTGGAGGCTTCATGTGGCAACATGTTTCTCTGGATCCTGTGAGACTGGAGCCATCCAGTGTCATGCAGCCAAGTGTGGTGATGCCGAACTACAGACTGACCTCATATCCAGTAAGATGCTGTATCACAATGTCATGAGAAGATGACAGGCCCCTGCATCACACGGTTCAAAAACTGCAGCACTCATACCTTCCAAACTAGTCTGTTTGCCCTGCTCAATAAAGACGTGAAAGGTGACTTCACTGGTGGCAGGCTTATCCCTTCCTACACCGCCAAGAACCTCCTTAGATCAAAGAAAGAGTTGTGCCAGTAATTCCCACTAGCACTGGGGTTCTGCAATCACATATCCTCCATAAACACAATTTGGCATTTGCTGACAGTGGCACTCAACAAAAATCTAATTCAGACTTCTGCACGGATTTGGCGCCAAATGAAAGCAAACTTTGATATGGCAATAAACAGCTCCATCAGAATCTTCTCCAGGAGGGAAAGCAGTGGAAATCACTTCCTTCACATGAAGGGCGAAAAAAAGGCAAACAACAGGATAGGATGGACTCTTTTTAAATTACTATAAAATGTATTGCCTTATATATTGTTTCTTGGAAACACCTGAAATTTTCCAAAGACATTCAGCTTAAGGCAGTGAATAGGAGAGGAAGAGAGAAGCATCAGCCGAAACTATTAAAGACTGCCAAAGCTATAGGCAGCTGTAAGCAGGGATTTGTTATGGGAAGCAGAAACCCAGCAGCTCATCCAGGCCCCTGGGAACTAGTCTTACTGAAAAAATGGTGAAGGAACATGGTGCATTGTACTTAGCAAAAACTGCTGGACACAGGGATTGCAGCTGCTGAAAAACATGCTCTTCTGTATGTCTATCTAGCGCAGATACAGCTTTCGTCCATGAACGCACAGCAGTCAGATAATTAACGTGCACTTACAACACGAGTAAAGTTTTTACTATCACGAGTTTACAGTGGCCACATTACTCACGTGGCTGAGGTAAACAGAAAGGATTGCTGGTCATGCCACGTGAGACACAGAAGTTCAGTTTAGTCAACATTACTTCCCTTAGAGAAGCCACAAGGACTTAACCTAGGTGACAGCACAGTCTGACAGCAGAGAAAAATCATGGACGAGAAATGCCAAGGAATGTACCCTGGAAGAGATCATTTAACTTCCTGATGTGCTTTTCCGGATCCCCACGGGCCAGGGAAAATACCCAGGCATCACATGGCAAAAATTAAAAGAACTTAAATTAAAATTAAAAAAAATTACACGAAAGCAATCTTGCAGGTGATACACACCACCACAACAGGCACTCGCTATGTACCCCCAGCTTACACAGCATGTTCAGGACTGTTCATTCTAGCTCAGGCAGGAGAGAAAGCTGGAGCCAGCATGTGTTTAGGAACCAGCGACTGAAGAGATCCATGTAGGTCACCAATCCATGCAAAAAGTATATATAAAAGAAGCACCTTTCAGTTTGGTTTCATAAGGAAACAGGGTTTGTGCCACCATCCTGCGTATCTGCCACTTATTCTCCTTCTCTCTTTTTCTTTGAACTGTATAGGTAACTTGAGCTAGATGTGACAAAGCAGTATGTCCTTGAAGATGCAGTTCTTGAACTGTTGTTCAACACTGGACAGGAAACAGGCCCAAACTCACCCTCCTGCTACGGGAGAAGCAGGCAAAACTCAGTCCCTTGTTCCTTCTAGGAGGCCAGTGCCCCCACATGGGTCTCTCCAAATTAGCCACAGCACAAGTGGTTAGTGTGAGATGGATCTGAAAATCCTGGGAAGCAGAGGGGGAAAGCAGGAAGGAGGAATAAGGAGGCATCACACGACTTGATAAGCAGTCTTGCTGGTTTTGGTGCTCACAGGACCTCCTCTTCAGTACACAGGTAATAGAGATGTATAAAACAACGAGTGATACACAGCAGATAAATAGGGACTTCCCCTTTTATCTTGCATTTGGAGAGAGAATTAGAAAGGAATAATCAATGATGTTCACAATCAATGTGTTCAGGAGGAAATGCATAAATGAGAGGAGCGCTCAGCCAGCAAAAGATAGCAAAAGGCGGGTAATAATGTTGAAAGTCCCCCAAATCTCACTGATTTCTAATGACTCATAGGCTCAAATTCCTGGCAAAGATTTGGGTGTTTCTGAGAATTTTATCTCAAGAGCACAAGAGGAGTTTTACAAGTCACCTGTACGCAAATAGAGAGCTTGCCCTATCTCCTTCTCAGCACCCTGGAACCTGCTGT